TATGGTAGAAGGTACACTTATTCAAAACCATCTTGATGAGTTGAACAAGATTATCATGGATATGAAGGCCATGGATGTGAAGATTGATGATCAGGATCAAGCCTTGATTTTGTTGAGTTCTTTACCTAGTTCTTATGGAAATTTTTTGGAGACCATGTTGTATGGTAGGGATGCTGTGACTATGGAGGATGTTAAGGCATTGCTTAATTCTCGTGAGTTGAAGAACAAAATGTTGGAGAACTCGACTGAGAGTTGAACAGAGGCTTTGATGATTCAAGGCAAGAGTACAGAAACAAAATCAAGCAGTGGTGGAGGGAAGTCACGTTCCAGAGGGATGGCTCGAAAGGGAAAATGCAACTACTGTCACAAAGAAGGGCATTGGAAAGTTGATTGCCCATGAATCAAAGAAAATGAGGGATCTAATAATGCATGTACTTCCCCGAATATCATTGGGGAAGACGAATTTGAGTTCGCCTTATGATCGATGTTTTCAATGTGCCATTGTTTGGGGTGTGATCTTTTATTGTCTTTGGTTATTTTTTGAAATTTCCCTCACGGTGAAGTTCCAAGAATTTGTGTTTTTTGTGAGTTGTGGGTTGTTTGCTATTTTTTTTTCTCCATGTAGCATTGTTGGTTACTTTCAGGTTGTTTTTCCTTTTTTTTCATCAAATTTTCAATTGGGGTTTATTCAGGGGGTTATCTTTAGGAGGGTAATTCCCTCTTTTGGGCAGCTGAAATTGTTCATTCCTACTACTTGGTTGTCTAGACTCTGCGTGTACTGTAGTGGAAGAAGCTTGAGGTTCAAGCGTTTAAGGTTTGTGCGATTTATGCACGTACATTCAGCTAGTGTGGTTTGGTTATAAGGATGATAGAAGAAGTTTTTAATGTTGAGGTCATCCAGTTTGATCAAAGCACACATGATAAGTCTATAAATATACTCATTTATGTACTCTTTTTACTTAGGTTTTGTAGGAGAATTAGATTTAAAAGGGGCTTATTACTTTACTTTTCTGATTTTCAGCTTTTCTGCGCCCTTAGAAGGTTTTTAAGGGAAATCAACTTTTCAGAGGAATTTTAGCACAAGGCCAATTGGAGATGAAATCTAACATCTTGAAGTTGAATCTGTGATTTTTCTAGAATTTTCTACCAGCCAATTGGTACAGTATTACAAGTAAAGTTAGCCCACGTGCAGACAGGACAGTTTTGTACATGTTACGTGAATGTGAAGAAATGGAAGCCTTCCCGAATTTTCCAAGTTACGTGCTATATATGGTTGGAAAGATAAGACATTTATCTTTCTAAAATATATTTTTAATGATTTTTCTAGAAGGCTGAAGATCCCCAAATCGTGTGACAATTGGGCTGAGCTGTATTTCCCTATGCAGTTAGGAATTGTGATTTTTACTTTCCTATTTGGATTCCTTGTTTACCAAGACTTCTTGAACGACTTTTCAGTCAATCTTAGGGTTTAGAACTCTGATATAAGTGATATAAAAGGTCAGCCAAGGCCCCCATACAAAGGATTCACGTCCTAAGGAGATCAACCGCACAAGAGGAGAAATCTGACAACGAGTTCTTCTTTTCCTTTCTTCTTTTAATTTTCAGTTCTTATGTATTTATTTTTGAGTTCATCCAAGAACATGAGTAACTAATTTCTTGTTAGTTAGGGCTTAATCTTGAAGCCTTAAACATGATTTCAATTCTATAAACAAGTTTGAATGGATTTTCAGTTTCTACAAGCGTGATGATTTCGGTTTCTCTATGTTATGTGAATTCTAATATTTTGTTTCTTTGAGTAGCTAACTTTGAAGCATGTATTGGAATTAAATTGTTGTAGAACATACGTTGATTGTTAATTTGAGTAAATGTCATACTAGATTTCAATTAAGAATACACGTATTGATGTAAATGCCATACACTTTACATACATTTAAGAGAGAATCATACAACTCGAGTCAAATGTCATGATCTTGTTGTGAGTGTCGTCATCATATGCTTGCTAGAAATTGACTATCTATTGTTGTTTATGGATTGATTGATTGTTTGGAGGTGGATAGTGAGTCCTAGCTATTGTTCTTGATTGATTTTAAACCAATTTCTCTTAAACTCTAATTTAAATTCTGTTTTGTTTTGTTTTCCTTATTTTTTTCATTCACAAAATCAAATCAAAACCCCCCTTGATGTTGGTGTGTGTGTGGAAGTCATTGTGGTTTCAATCTTTATTTTGTTTTCGTGTTTAATTGTGTTTTAGTTTTCATTGTGTGACATTGATAAACATCTCTTTAGATCACAATCTCTGTGGGATCGACCCTTTCTTGCTTACTATACTATCATTTGATTTGTGCACTTGCAAGGTTTTAATATTGTTGTTAAAAAATACCAACAAGTTTTTTAATACCCACAACTTAGATTTTGCTAGTCCTCGAGCAAAACAAAGGAAAAATAAAAACAAAAGAACAAAGACTCAAAACAAACAAACAACTAAATTCCCAATATTGATATCAGAGATAATTACCAATGGTTAACTAACTTCTAAGAAATAATCAACATTAACTCAAGACATTATCAAAAGGTTAACCAAACTTTAATTGAACAACTTGGAGTGTTGTGTGTGAAATAGCCAACATTAATATAACCATGACTTATGCTTCACAAAAGTTAAATAACCAAATAAGAACAACCTTTAACTTCAATTCTCACCAAGGATGTTCACTCCAATGTAAACATTCGAAATTTGACTAGGTAGTGTCACTCATATATGTGAGAAGAATCAAATCAATAGGATGTACTCACATAATTGAAATAAAAGCACAATACATGAATAAAAGATCTCATGGAAAGATATCGCATATTTGAAAACATTTAAACCATCCGACCATAGTCCTTCCACACCTATTCTCCACATGAGGAACCATACTTCTCCTTGGATCAAGTAGGACTTTCACTAAGGTTGTAATAGGGCTTAGGGTGATGGGTGAAACAAGAAAGAGATATGGATGAACAAACGAAGTCTAAGGGCTAAAGTAAAGCTTTCTATAAAATTATAACATCTTGCACTTTAACATACAATTTTATCTTGATACTGTCTTGAATTTTTTTATTTTTTTATTTCTTTTCACATTTTTATTATTATTATTTTTTCTAACTCCATTAGCTTTCTAATCAACCCATATAACAAGTGTTAGGCCAATAACTCCCAAGCTAGATAGCTTTAGGGTAATAAGTGTAAAACACTCCTCGGGCTTAAAAACTCAAGTTGAAAAGGCTTCGGAATCAGATTTTATTTTATTTTATTTATTTATTTATTTTTATTTTTTTGGAAACAGTATCATATACACATGATTGAACCATTTGTGCAATTCTCCCTTAACCATGAAAGTTCTCTACAAAGCTCCTTAGAAGGGTGTAGGATAAATATGCAAAAGGTTAAGGTGAGGAGAATTGGGTAAAGAATGATTAAGGCTTACATAAAAGGCAGAAGGGGTTGACTAGGGATAAAATTGATATGGGTTGGCTGGAAAGGCTCAAACAAACGAAACAAGGCCTATATCACTTCCTAGGATCCATGTGGTTCATAAAATATGCCTCAAATAGATAATGAAAGTAGTTCTAGCAAATAATTTAAACATACTCAAGTATTTGACCAAAACAAAGAATAATGAGATCACAACGACTTGTAGATAAGAAGATTATAGAATAGTATATAACACTCAAGAAAGAAAGGGATAGGCTCAAAAGCTCACATAATAAGGGTTGCATAAGTCTACACTAGCCTTATTTGGGAATTTAAATCATGTGAACTCCAATCGAAAATCATATTAATATGGCTATGTGCAAAAAGATTTACCAAGTTTAATCACAAAATTAGGGCTAACACAAAGATAATGTAAAGAATTAATGTCATGCCCACAATTCCTTGCAAGTTAATTGCCAATAAAATTCGATCTCATCATAGAATTGGGAAGTGACTACTACAAACAAATAAAAACTAGACTCAAAGTTAAAGAAAATATTTCTAGGTTTTTATGACATTTTTCTGATTTTTTTTTCACGAGAGACGAAATTAGAAACAAGACAACAAAACAATAAACTACTCCTACACATGAAAAGTGAAGCGGTGGCATAGACTATAACACTCAATCACTCACAACTTAAAATAAACATTGTCCTCAGTGTATAAAATAAAGAAATAAATTCATGGACAATCAATTAAAGAGGGAGAGGGTTTTAGGACTTTTCGGGTTTTCTAGGTGTGCGGAGGGCAAGAATTTGTCGAAGAGAGAGGAGATAAACAAGGCAACGAACTCAAACACCCACAACTTGTGTCTTTGAATGCCAACGGACCCGTAATAGCTCCTAAAAGTCTCGGAATGCAATGAAATTGGAACGATATTGATCTGGATATGTAAGCATAAAAATTTGGAAATCTGACTTTTAGCAACGAAAAATCTGTTGAACACCGTCGTTAAAACCTCTTTGGTGATGAAAAATCTTCAAATTCTGGGCAAAACAGCAGCTGCCTTTTTTGTGTTTTAGGTCCTTTTTTGAGCTTCAAATTGTCCTAAAACATAATGTAGGCCACCGGAGACCCCCAAACCTGGTCCAAATCATCAGAATAACCATTCTAAACATGTTGATGGCATCATATTGACTTGAAAAACAGCAAAAAGGAATTAGGCAAAAATTCTAGTTTTGACCAAAATAAGAACATAAAAGCTATTTTTCTATTTTCTGGTATCTAAACTCAGCCAAGGACCAAAAAAAACGTAACACATTTGAAACATGCTGCAAACAATCTAGGGCTAGAAAACTGTGAAAAATTTTCTATAGAACACAAAATCCATCGTTTGATGACGCAAAACATAACAAAAACAAAAATATAAAAATTGTACGAGAAATCACACATACACTAAAAACAAAAACAAAAACAAAAGTTAAGAATGCTTGGTTGCCTCCCAAAAAGCGCTTCTTTATAGTCGTGAGCTAAACTTTTCGAACGTCTACGGTGGTGCGAAAGTAGCAAAGAATGCTACGTCTTCCATGTAATGCTTGGGCTGTTGTCCAAATTCCTTGCGAGTAATAGCCTTGTCATGCAATGTCTTGTTGTGATCCTTAGCAAGAAGATGCCACAAGAGCTGGCTCATCTTGTAAAAGCTTTTGATACAACATTGATAAATTTCGGCACGTCCAAGAGAAGAGCGCATGTGTTTCACGTATGTAAGGGGTGGCGACTTGGCTTTCAAGACATATGTAGAGGTGTTTTCCAAGTAGTTGACATGTACAATTGGGTCAAGGAGATCTATGCGGCTGCACTCTTCCAAGTCCCTCGGTTTTTTAACAGATTCAAACACCTTAAACTCAACAGATTCCCCTTGAACTCTCAAAGTTAAAGTTCCTTGTTGCACATCAATCAATGCACTAGCTGTAGTAAGGAAGGGACGGCCTAGCAAGATTGGGATGTCGCGGTCTTCCTCCATGTCAAGAGCTAGGAAATCAGTCAGCAACACAAATTGCTTCACTTTGACCAACACGTCTTCAATGATTCCTTTAGGATATGTGACTGATCTATCCGCAAGTTGAAGAGAAATGAAAGTACTCTTGAGCTCTCCAATACCTAATCTCTGAAAAATAGACAAAGGCATAAGGTTAATGCTTGAGCCTAAATCTAAAAATGCTTTATCAAATTGAACATCACCAATAATGCAAGGAATTGTAAAACTCCCTGGGTCCTTCAGTTTAGGAGTCAATTTACGCAATAGCACGACCGAGACTTCTTCACTTAAGGCCACGGTTTCATACTCCTTGAACTTTCTCTTATTTGTACAAATTTCTTTGAGGAATTGTGCATAGCTTGGAATTTGCTGGATCGCATCAAGTAAGGGAATGTTCACTTGCACTTTTCGGAAAGTGTCTAGGATATCCTTTGAAACTTGCTCATTCTTTAAATTCAAAAACCTACGAGGAAAAGGAACCTTTGAAGTAATTGAATGATTCACAAGAGAACTTACCTTAGAGTTGTCACTTGGAACCGTAAGCTTGGGAGAGGGGGCATCCACAGTTTTGGTTGAATTTCTCCCCTCATTATCATCATTTTCCACCTCTTTTCCACATCGAAGAGTAATCGCCTTTGCGGTATCATGGCCTCCATTAGGATTTGGAATTACTTGGCTTGGAAGCTTTCCAGGCTCTCTTTGACTTAAGGAGGCTGCAATTTGTCCAACTTGGTTTTCAAGGCTCTTGATTGCTGTAGACATTTGTGCCTGTGTTTGGCTTATTTCCTGCATAAAACCTTGAGTGCTTAATGCCAAAGAATTAATTAACTCTTCTAAAGACTTACCTTGCCCATGAGGTGGTGGTGGTGCATTTTTTTGAGGAACAAACTGATTTTGTTGAACTGGGGCTGTTTGCACATTTTGGTTGTTCTTCCATCCAAAGTTAGGGCGTTGCCGCCATCTCGGATTATAGGTGTTAGAAAATGGATCGTTTCTTGGCTTTTGTTGCTGCATATAGTGTGCTTGAGCCAACTCTTCTTCATCACCATACAAACTTGGACAAGACTCCCTAGGATGTCCGGACTAGCACACACGGCACACACTTGTGCTTGAGGGATTAACTGCTTAACAAGGTTAGTCAAATTAGCTATTTGAGGACCAATATCACTAGCACTTACCTCATAAAAGCCTGCTTTCTTTGGGGGAGCTCTTTGGTAATTAAACTGTTGAGAATTTGCTACAATGTTCTCAAACATCTCCTTAGCTTGAGTAGCACTCTTGTTCATCAAACCTCCTCTACTAGTAGCATCAACCATCATCCTCTTCGAATCAAGTAATCCCTCATAAAAGTATTGCATAAGTAGCTAATCTTCAATTTGGTGATGAGGGCATGAAGCTAGGAGTCTCTAAAACCGATCCCACTACTCATGAAATGATTTTTCATCTAGTTGTTGCACTCCCATAATCTCCTTCCTAATATGGTTTGTCTTTTGAGCTGGAAAGAACTTTGCAAGGAACTTGGAAGCCAATGATGTCCATGTGGTGATAGATGCACTAGGTAAAGAATAGAGCCACTCCTTGGCTCGTTCCTTGAGTGAGAATGGAAACAAACGCAATCTGATTGCCTTATCACTAATCCCTCCTTTGTGCATAGTCGCGCACACGGCAAAGAAATCCTTGATATGTAAGTGAGGATCATCCCCAGCCTTGCCATAGAATTGTGGGAAAAGGTGAATGGTGCCACTCTTGATCTCAAAGGTGGTTGTAGTGGCTGAATATGCAATGCAAGACGGCTGGTCCAATGCTTTAGGAACTATGAAATCCTTCAAAGGTCGGGTGAGGTTGTTGAGTTCCAGCTTGTCTCCCATCTTGATTGGAAGTGTATCTTGCTTATTTTAACTCGACGGAGATAACGAAGTGTGTTCTCTAGTTCAGGGTCGTATGGTATAAGTTCGTATTCTGCGAATGACGACCTAGCATATACCTGAAATTGAAAACAAAACTCAATTAGATTAACAATCCCCCGCAACATCGCCAAAAATTTGTTGGTAATTTTTAACAACAATATTAAAACCTTGCAAGTGCACAAATCAAATGATAGTATAGTAAGCAAGCAAGGGCCCGCAGAGATTGTGATCGAAAGATATGTTTATCAATGTCACACAATGAAAACTAAAACACAATTAAACACGAAAACAAAATAAAGATTGAAACCACAATGACTTCCACACAACACATTTTTGGTTGCAAGTTCAAGGAGTGCTTGAGTTTGATTTGGTAAGAGGAAGATGGGCGATGGAAGTTCTATTGTGCATAGTATTTTTAACAAGGTGGAGATTGTTGAGATTGGTAAAATTCTCATGCGGCACCCATGTAATAAATGGGTCAGCAAGTTTTGTTTTTGTTTTTTGTTTTGGCTTTTGAAGGAAGTCATGTTGCATTAAATGAGTGGTTGAAATTGAAGACATTTCACTTGGGTTGCCAACATTGGTGTAGAGTATGGGAAAAGTCTTGCTTTTCACATTGAACCAATGGCCTATTAATACATAGCAGCTGATTCATTTGGAGTGTAGAGCATGCAAATGTTGTGTACCTGTGTCGCACCAAGTGGGCATTTGTGCCGCACCATTTGGAGGTGTCATGAGCACCATTGCTCAGAGAGGCTAAAGCAGAAGTGAGACACTTCCACACAAAGAGAAATACTAGAGAGTATCACCATGATGGTGGAGATAAACTTCTCTTTGGCTACACGAGATGTTGAAGGAAGATCAAGTCATTTCAAAGGTTGAGTCTTCTTCATTTGTTCCTTGTGTTTGTGGGAGGTTTATTTCTTTGTATTGTTCTTAATGTGTTCTTTCCTAGTGAGCAAGAACAATTCTTGTGTTCTTGGCTCTTATGTGTGGTTAGCCAGTGAGTGACTTGGGTGTATTTGGGATTTGGGTTGTGAAAGTTAAACTTTGTAATTCCTAGGATAGGTGAGAAGGTTAATCTCCTTCGGTTGTAATCTCCTTTAGGATACTAGTGGAATTTCTCGCTATCTTCGAACTGGATGTAGGCTACACACGGGCCGAACCAGTATAAATCCTTGTGTCGTTTGGATTTTCGTATTTCATATTTTGCTCTTGTTGTTTCAATGGTTTCATATCCACCATCCTAGTGTAAACCGCTTCCACTGCGCACACAAAATTCCACCTCTGTGATCCATGACCTCCATGACCTTTGCCAGTTAAAGACCTCCTCATCTAGTAATATTGGGTTTTCTCCTAAACCCTAGATCCCCTTTTATTAGGGTACGAAATTAGAGGTTAGAAAAATGAAGGGAAATTCATTTGGGAAAAAAACAAGCCAAAAAGAAGGAACTAATGGCTGAAGCATGGGTTGAGTTCAGTGGAGGCGCAAAATGACAATATTAACCTCCAACTTTATGACAAAATGGATGGGAAGTGCCATATTTTGACGTCGGGAGGCACACTAGCCAAAAATAGTTCGGTTCCTTAATTTTCTTTAAAAAAAAAAGGATAGGGGGTCAATCAAAAGTTAGGTACAAGTTCAGGGGGCAAATCACCAGTATACCCTATTTGTAATGTTTTCCCTGGTAAATAAAGCAATCTCCAATGATGGTTCTTCAAAAGAAAGGTTAGCAATTTCAACCATCCTAACAACTTCTTCACCCAAGCTATCAAATCCATCTCCTCCAACATCCCACATTTAAGTAACACCTTCTTTGTAACTTGGGCTCTTACTTGATGAAAGAGAAAGATTAGTATGCACAAATACCAAGTATTCAGCTCTTTGGAGTGTTAACTTGTTTTTTCTTAAAGAGTGAATGAAACTACATATACTCCAATTTCTTTCACAACAAGAGGAGGTACAATGTTGTCCAAGTAGCTTCAAAGCTATGGATTAGAGAGTTGGTGTCACCGCCCGATTCGAGAATAAAGAACATGGTATGGTATGACTATGGTATGTCTCACACCCTGATTCGGGAATATTCCTTATTCTCGAATCGAGTGGTGACAGTTGGTGTTGAAGCTCCATGAACAATCCACCACACCGTTGGTTCCATGTGAAACCTATCATTCATAGCATCAATAGCTCAAAAGTCATCTAAGCACATTGAAAAAGAGGCATACTCCACATTGATATCTCTTCTAGTCCAGTCATCTTAAAAGTATTTCTCAAGACACTTTTTTCTTTCCATTGTAATCTCGGCAACTTGGTGTGGAGCAACACAGCTAGGATCTTCTTGCAGCCATTCTGGACTATAAAACCTAAAAGTACAGTATGATATCATTTTATAAAATTATCATAATATGAAAAGTAAATTTTAAATACTTTGAAAAGAAAGAAGGACATAATACTTACCTAGGATTTAAAGAATGTGCCAAACAATGGAGTGGTGTGCTACTCTTGGTCCATCACTCCACTAAAAAGTGATACACCACATAAGGAATTCGCTTTGTTCATGCAGTTGCTTGTGCTTTTTCCTATAGATAGTTGTCTTCACCTTCTCTATCATCATAAACCAAATTAAGAAAAGGTTTATTTGCGTCTGCCATCCTAATCATCTCATGCATAGAAGCTGTAAAGGAAAGTATATAATCAATCTTATCCCAAAAGTATTCATCCAATATATTTTCCTTCACTGCGCTTGCTTTGCCAACATCATCCTCTTTATATAAAGACCAATTTGGACTAATCACCATTTGTTGTAAACCTTCCTTTACTTCCTCAAATCTTCTAATCATCACAAGTGTAGAGGCAAACCTTCTTTCAGCAATGGAGAGCATCTTCAATTTGCAATGGTCTTTATACATAGCCAATCTCATATTATGCTTCCTAATAGGGGTGGGCATCGAGACTGGAAAATCGGGACACTGAACCACACCGTATGGAAAAAAAGAAAAAAAATTGTGTTGACTAAAGTGTCAACAAACCGACACCGAACCAGACCGGACCGGTTCAAATCCAACTACAACAATGTTTGAAATCCAACTACATTGATCATACTAATCATCATTTTATTTTGGTGAACATATACTCTTCAAAGCAAGATTGAGAGTTTGAACCACACATGGTGTCCAAAAGATATTGGGATATCCAACCACAACAAGTAATCCAGCAACTCTACAAACTAGCGCATTGTCAATGATTACTTAAACCACATTTTGATAACCGATTTCCTTAATGGAGTCAATAAGAAAGTTGGCAATACAATGTTCATCCTTGCACTCTTTATTTCAATTCATTCCTTTCAAGAACATAGGTCAACTCTCACAAGTTGCCATAATATTAATGAATGGTCTACTTTGCGAATATGTCCACCGATCACTACACACACTTACACCTTTAGTGCTCCATGTACCCTTGATTGGTTGTAAACACCGCTCAATGTGGCTCTTCTCTTGTTGTAAAAAAGTAGTTCTTAGTGCATTGTAACCTGGTTGAACATATCTGGAAGCGCAGAAGCACGAAGATAGGAGTTTCGATAATGTGGATTCCTTGCAAGGTGGAAAGACAATCCACCTATATAAAACATCCTTGCAACTTCAACATCACATTGTTCTCTAGCTTCATTTTGAAAAGCTTTATCAATGGGACCATTCATTCCATTTCTCTTCTTTTACTCAACATTAGAAACAGAAGAACAAAGTAAATAACCAGTATTAGGCAAAGACACTTGTCTTGGAGCTATACGTTTGAACCGATATTCACATTCTCTCACAAGTTTTTTCATTTATGCAAAAACTTCATCAGTAACCTTTTTGCAAGTTGCAATCCCATTTCCCGACATTTTCAACGAATAAAACTTGACTCTAGAGTAGGAGCCGTCGTAAGTATTATGACAATAATTGCATTCAAACATAGTATTTCCTCCTCATTTTCCTAATTTTTCGAGCCTTTTAACACACTTCCACAATGGAGAATGATCATCTACCTTGATTTCAGTATTCTCCGTAGGATTAACATTAGCACTTGCATTATTATTTGAATGACTCATGTTCCTAAGCATAAAGAGATTTCAACATACTGAATAACATTATTAAATTGCCTAAACACAACTTGAATGACTCATGTTCCTAAGCATAAAGAGATTTCAACATATTGAATAACATTATTAAATTGCCTAAACACAACTTTTTTTTTTTCTAAACAAAAGTGCTATTCACGAGGGGTGGGGGAGTTCTTTCATTGACTTGCTTTTTTTGCAAGTCCTTATGTAATATATATTAGATTTGGTTATAATATTATTACTTTTGATTATAATATTATTATTACTACTGGGGTGAGAACATGAGAGTATTTTAAACAAAAG